AAAAAATGTTAAATAAAAAAGACTAAAAAGATTTGAATGCCACATCCTAGAGTTTGACTTTGCCCTGTAAACACCAGGAAACAATAGATGTTGTTAAGCAAGAGAAACAAATGATGAGATTTATGTTTCAGAAAGATGAGAGAGAGGATGGAGCTGAGAGTAAGAGCAGAGCATTATTTCTCTCAGCATAACTGCATGAGAATTTGGGGGCACAAGGGATGTTAAATGAACACTTCTGGGGACTGCCCTTTAATTACTGAATCAGCATCTCTGGGTTTGAGACCTGGGGTGGGGGGCAGTCTGTATATGACAACTGTCACATAACTATCCTTGCAGACTCTGAAGTCTAAGACATCTAGAGTCTGAGAAAACGGAAGCTTTGTAATTGTCTAATTAGGAGATGAAATCAGTTGGATCTGTACATGATGCCCTTCCAGAGAAGCTCATAAAGAAAAGCAATTACTTTCAGACAATTACGTAATTAAGTGCTAAACTATTTGTTGCAGACTGCTGCGTATTCTTGGGCAAGTCATTTGCTACCTTAACCGTCATGCTTTTAAATGACAAAGTACTCATCTGCATAGTCTTATTTGTGTGTTACAAACTTTGAAGAGTTAGGGAAAATATTTATCACCTTCTATTGAGAGAGTAAGTTTAATATGAAGATTAGGTTGAATCATTCTTATGTAAATGTTTTCCTGCTTGCTTACTGTTTGTCTCCTCATGCAGTGTAAATTCCAGGACATCGGACTGGAGGACATTGATGGGTTGCCAGTGAAACAGTGCTTGGCACAAAGTAGGTTCACGGTGAATCCGTTCTGGATAAATGAAAGACAAAGACAGACAAATAAAAGAAAAAAGAAAAAGAAGCAGAGGAAGAGAGGAAGGAAAGGAAAAGGGAAAGGAAGGAAGGAAGGAAGAAAGAAAAGAAAGAAAGAAAGAAAGAAAAGTTCTCAAAGTTTTCAAAGTGTATGCAACATCAGGTAAAGAAATTACCACACTGAACAGTGAATCAAGAGATTCAGCCTTTCTCCCAGCTACTGTTTATTCAACACCTGCGCGGTGCTAGATGCAGAAGATACTGCCCTTAGGGTATTGCCAATGTCGATGTCTGGGTTTGACTCTGCTACTCAAGAGTTTAGAGCCCTGACAAGTCTGTCGTATGCTTAAGCTTCAGACCTTAGTTCCTTGTTTGTAAAACTGGGGGGAATTGGTGGTGGGGGCGGCTCGCCAAAACATGAGATGACAGCTGAAGCGCTTTCCAGATCTCACTTTTGTAATTCATCGGCTTTACCTCCTGGCTTCAGTGCCCCCAGTTCGGAAGTGAGCAAAGGAACGTGCGAACCGCCACCCAGGACCGAGTCCTTGCCTTCCGGCCAGAAATGTAACCCCTCCCCAGAACTGGCTTCTCAAAGAGCTATAGAAGTGCTAAACAGTAACAGATCTGGAGGCAGAAAACACTGTGACACTAATTGTTCGGTTTCCTCCGGGTCCCCGGCGGAGGAGGCTGGCCCCGGCTGCCCAGGGCTGCTTCGGCCGGCCACCCCACGGCGCAGCGCGCGCCTCTTTTGACTTAAGTATCCCGAGGACTGGAAAGGTGAAGAGGGAGGCGTCCAGGGGGCCAAGACGCTGCCCGCTCGGATCCGGGCGGACCTGCAAATAATACCCGGGGCCGGGAGGAAGGCTCCCATTGGCCGGAGGGCGGGTGATGGGCGGGGGGCGGAGTTTCGGGGGCGGGGAGTATAAGGGAGGGTGTGTGCGCACCCCGTGTCAGTTTCGGCGTCCCTGGCAGCTCACCTCTGCGCCGCCGCTTCTGGGTCACTCCTCCTCTGCCTACCGGGCGCCCCCACCTGGCCCTACGGCGCCCCGCAGCTCCCCGAGCCCCGGGGCCCTCCTTGCCTTTTCTCCGCGGTGCTTGGATCCGGGGGACTTTCTGTTTGTTTGTTTGTTTGTTTGTTTGTTTTCTTCTCTTTCCTCTTTGTTGCTCTACAACCCTTCTCGCCGAAGCCCCCGGCTCCGGAGGGAGTTCGACTTGCGGAGGAAGTTGGCTGCCGCGCCCCGCACCGGCCCCTCCTGCGGCCCCGCGAGCGGGCGCGCCCACCCCGCCTGCCCGACCCGCTCGCTGCCTGCGTTCGTTCGCTAGAGGAAGCCAGCCGAGAGTTCATTGATGCACCCATTCCAGTGGTGTAACGGTGAGTCCCGGGCCGGGAGGGAGAGGGACGCGGGGCTGGCCGGAGACGCGAGGTGGGGGGCGCCACGGTTCAGGTCGGAGGGCTCGTCCTCCCTCTCCAGCCAAGTTTCTCCTGAAATGCGACGGCCTCGGAGGCGTCCTGGCGCCCAACTCTGCTCTGCACAGCGCGGAATTTGAAAAAAAAAATCCAGGTTTAACTAAAGGGCTGAGAAAGCGCTGTGAGCGGGCGGCGGGCGGGGGGCGTGGGAGCCGAGGGGTTCCCGGCCTTTGTGTGGCGATTTCGCTCTCCTACCCGCTTCCCTTGCCTTTGTGAGCTCAAACTGTTCTTTGTTGTGGTTGTCGGAGGAGAATTAAATCCGCGCTCGGGCTTGGATCTCCTAGAGGGAGCTCAAGTTCCCGGCCTGAAAGTTTGCAGGCTATTTTAAATATGTATACAATGCAGCGTGCGGGACGGGGCGCGGCGGCGGCTTCCTCTGCGCCTTTGTTGGCTTCACAGGGGGCTTTGTGTCTGTGGAGGACGCCGGATTAGAGCGTGGCTTTATTGGATTGATAAAGCCTTGCAGATATCTGGGCGCCCGGCTACCTTTGAGTGCTGGGCTGGCCTGGGGAGCCAAGGCAAGACCGCAGGACTAGCTCCTGTGCCTCGGTGTTGGCCGCGCCTCCAGACCCAGTCACCCCTCCCACCCCGGCCTGGGTGATGCTAAATTCCTCTCACCTCGGGCTTTAAGCGGTTCAGGTGATACAGGTTGGACTTGGGTCTGATTCCCCGCCCAGGCTTCCTGAGAGGATGGCTCTTCTGAGCGGGTCAGTTAAGAACCTTGGCTGGTAATACCTTCCAATGGCCCTAGGACCTTGATCGCGCTGTCCTAAAGCTTGGAGAGTTTCTGGAGGAGAGGGGTGGGGTGCGAGGGACAAAAACAGCTGACCTTATGGCTGAGGCTGTTAGGCTGGCTAGTTAGAAAAAAAGAAAAATCCATTCTTGAGAGCAGACTCTTGCCAGATCTTGCATTAATTATTTCAGAAGGCTTTTGTTTTAAGCAGGGTTTGGGCAGCATGTGTGTGAGTGGTCCCCATCCCCCTCTTCCTCTTGCTGGTAGGATCTAATTTCCTGAAAATGAACCAAGCTGTGTGTGATAGGCAGCATTGCTGGAGTGGGGGCGGAGGATGGAGGGGGGTGAGGAAGGACAGTGCATCCCAGCATCTGGGAAAGATTCCCGTTGGCTGGGAAGGGGACGCATTTCCCAGATCCACTGGTCTTTCTTGGCCGGCCCTTCTCTTGACGTCATTCCAGCTCCCAGCCTGCAAGCCGGGAGATGAGACATTCTGATGTCAAGGCTTTCATAGGTTGGCTGAAACAATGGAACAGACTTCAGGAGGAGAACCAAGGTGGCTGCCAGTAACCCTGGCCTTTCGTCTGGGGCAGCCCTCTTTCATATGAGATTTTTAGACCCTCAAAGGACTTGCTGCTTTATCTTTTCACTTCTTAAAGGGCCTGAGAGATCATTCTTCTTTGACTCTAATGAGGAAGCCATCCCTTCCCCAACACCTTAGCGAAAAATAGCTGGAGCCCCTCTTTCCTGGGCTTGGTGTTCGGTCCTCATAAGTTTTAGAGGAAAAACTACTCCACTGTCAGCTTTTAGCCAAATGTATATTTTTTCCATTTCTTTTTACTCAGAATACAAGCAAATGGGCCGACTCCTCTTGACTGTGAAGCTCTTCCTACCCACACCTCTTTATCACAGAAAAGTCCCCAACTCACTGACTCAGTCCTGAAGCCCCAGGGAAAGCTTCTCTCGGCAAGATAAGACGGTCAAGATAAACTGATACACTGCTGAGGCCAGAGTGAATACGTGTGTACTGTGTGCATTAACTCTGGCCATTGCTGGGCGAGCTCTCAGAACAGGAAACCAAATGAGGCTCTTTGGAACCCTAAAGATGCCAGGATCCAGGCAGAGAGAGCCAAATTGTAAGAGAGAGTTAGACCCTCTTACAGCATCGAATACTGCTGAGACGAGGGTGGGGGAGATGTGCCTGGTGGGGAGGAAGGCTCCTGGCATTGAGGACAGAGTTCCTGGAAGGGAAGCCCAAAGGCCCTTTTCCAGAGTGGACTGAAGGTTGTCCCTCCCTAGCGAGTCCACCGTGATGCCTTCATGGAAAATTGATCTCCTTTGGCCCACAGAGATCAAATATTTGAGTGGAGGGTGAAGGGGTGAAAACTTTCTAACCCATGCTGGAGGCTAGAAGCGAGGGCTTAGCAAAGTTTAGGAGCATTTTTTTCCAACTTATTCTAAAGGATTTACAGGAGGGAGGGTATATCTCAGTGGTGGAGTGAATGCTTAACATGCCTGAGGTCCTGGGTTCAATTCCCAGGACCTCCACATGAATAAATAAACAAATAAACCTAATTACCCACCCCATAAATAAATAAAGGACTGTTAATTTAAAAAAAAAGTCTTTTAGGAGAAGAACTTCTTTTACTTTTTGTTTCTCCATAATGTCAGTGTATAAATCATGCCATCAGTAATGCTTGTTGGTCGACCAGTCATCTATTAACTGAGGGCAGTTTCTGGGGAATTTTCCCAAATTTCAGTCTCTTTACTTTGAAGTGGGAGCTCTTGCCAAGATTACTGGTTTGTCTTGAGAAAACCAGGAGTTTTTTTAAAAAAATCTGTTCACCAGTTATTGAAAACAAGTGAAACCTGAGCGAGGGTAAGACACTGGAGAATGTACCAATGTCCAAGTCACTGTCCTCAGACCTGCCTCCCAGCATTCAGGCTTGTGAGAAAGAACTCTCTCCATCTCTGGTCTCAGGATTGCGTAGAGTCCCGCCTCTACTGTGGTGCTTCATTTGTGTTTTGTAAAACCTTTGTGTCTGTCTTCTTCCCTAGACAATAAAATCATCTAGTCTTTCTAATTTGCTTTTTAATCGTCAATATCTGTCACGATACTTGTCATATAATCAATGCTTAATGCATGTTTGAGTTAAATTAAATTGATGTTAAGAATGATTGGGCAACGTAAGATAAGCCAGTGGATGTACCGGAGCCAGAACACATGATGCAGGCCATGTGACTACAGAATTTGGAGGGGGGGTGGCAGGGAGAGGTCACTGGAATAGCACAAAGACCAGGCTTGGTGGACTTCAGAAGGGAGAGGGAGTTTCAGGTAGGGAAAGCTGCAGGAACAAAGGCGTGGAGGTAAGTGAAGACGGGGTTGGGCAAGAAATAGGGGACTGGCCCACATGGGGTGATCCTGGAGAGTACTGGGCGGGGACCTGGCACATGCGTGTTTAGGAGGACTCGAAGCCAGTCCTGAGTTTGGAAAATACACCATAGGAACCAAGTGGGAGGAAATGTCAGACACGTGAGCTAAATTAGGTGAGGGACTAGACATCATTTAGGCATCTGGAATAAGGGCTTGGAGTAGAATTGGGCCCCAAATCTGTTTGGAACAGGGACTTGGCAATAGAGCTGGCACAGAATCTGAAAGAGGTTTGAAGGGAGGCTCAGAGTACTGGTCACTAGATTGATCTAAGGGATGAAGAGGCATGAGATTCATGATGTCAGAGATGACTTCGAGTCTCTGAAGTCAGTCTTCTGCTGAGTTGCAGTAGCCTCGCTGTTACGATGTCGAATTCCAAAGTGTATTCGTGGGTTTCTGGCTCCTAACCACGATGTTAGGAAAGTACTTAAAAACCATGTTGATGGCTTGAGTCCCAAGGTCTTTGAAGCCAGGCCCTCTTAGCTGTTTGACTGTAGACACATTATTGAGTGATTGAGTCTTTTTCATCCCCAGTGGAGGGGGCCGGATAACATTTCACTGTGGCACTACTACAGAGGTTGAATTCATAGCATGAGGATGTGCCTGGGCGGCAGCAGGTGGAAGGTAAAGTCTAGCCTTGTCCCAGCACTTTCTGAAATCTAGGTGTTTGATGCTTACCTTTTGGACCACTGATAATTTTGCCTACAAGCAGGAAAAAATACTCAACTGGTTTGTTGTTAAATCTTCTCTTTTTTTTTTCTTCCCTTATGTAGTTAATGCATTACAGAAAATATTACTAACTCCCAGGACCAGTAGTCCCAGGATAGCAACTGCCTCCAGAATTGGTTAATCCAGCAACTCAGCTGACAAAATCTTTCCTTCTTTCTCCTCTTTCCTGGTCCTCTGGGCACCAGATTTATGTTGAACTTCTCTCTTTCCAGTTGTAACTTGGCTGCCACCATTTCAGATGTTTTGTGGGAGATGTGACCCCCCCCAAAAAAGAGAAATCTTTTCTTTTCCCTTTCTCTTTGTTTCTTTGGCCAGAACCTTCTCACACACCTACCTCAGCACCAAACCTTGGCATGGGCAAGGTGATTACCACCTTCAGACCAAATGGGATTTACTCCTGAGTCACGTGAGAAAAAGAAGCATCTCTCGGCTAGCCAATGCTTCCCACACTGAGTGGACTTTGTTAAAACATAGATTCTGATTCATTTTGGTCAGGAGGGGGTGGGCCTGAGACTCTGCATTTCTAACAAGCTCCCGCGGATGCCACCACCACTGTGGGACTGCCCTGCAAGGCTTTGAGTAGAAAGGGGAAGGTGGCCAAGAAAAGTTAGCTGCAGCTCCCCGCCCCCACCCCCCTGCCACTTTCTGAAATGCTGGCCCAGCCTTGGAGTGAACAATTTCTATTCTGGTCCTAGTGCAACTTGGCTTCTGGAGCAGGTGGCTTAATAATGACAAGTGACCTTTGCAGTTTACAAAGCATATTTTTTTTTAACACCATCATTTCACTCCTCTCTGCATGTTGCTGTTTTCCTTTGACAAAGGGAAGCTTTTAGAGAGGTGATTTCTTAAAGGTCGCATAGCTAGGGAGAAGCAGAGTTTCCTCCCCTAAGGCTCTTCATCTTGCTCTTGCTCCATATGGGCTTCTCACTGATGGAAGTGAGTTCCCTGCTTTCCGTCCATTGAATCCTTGGTCCCCTAGATGCGGATGCCATTTTAAGTACTGTGTATAGTATCCCATTTCACAGATTGGTTAAGTAATTTACCCAAGATCACATAGCTAGTAAGTGTTAGAACTAGAGTATAAATGTAAACCCCTGGACCAGAGGTTTGCCACATCTCCCTCCATCCTTGCGGACATAGACCCATCGACCCCAGTGGAACGTTTCCCACTATCATAACACGTTTCCTCCCCCATTGCTTGCAGGGTGTTTCTGCGGCCTGGGACTGGTGAGCACCAACAAGTCCTGCTCGATGCCACCCATCAGTTTCCAAGATCTTCCCCTCAACATCTACATGGTCATCTTTGGCACGGGCATCTTTGTCTTCATGCTCAGCCTCATTTTCTGCTGCTATTTCATCAGGTGAGTGGTTCACTGGCTGAGCTGGGGTGGAGGGCATCCAGGAGGCGGTGGCCAGGGGTAGGGTGGGCCGAGCAAGGCTCCCATAGCAGAGTCACCAGCCTCTAGCGGGGGCCTCTGCTTTGAGGGCAGGACTTAGCCTGCCGTTCGCTGGGCCCGTGAGACCTGGCGTCTCTGTTTACATTAGCCTATCAAGTTGTTCGAGAGCGTATGAGGTCAGCATGGCGTTGGGCTGCATCCCAGTTACTGTAAGGTTGCCTAGAATGACTGTCTGACCAAATAATATCACTGGTGGTCCCTTAACCGCTCCCTCCACCATGTGCACCCTCTGGGTAGCTAGGGATTGGTGGGCGTCATTATGCCCGTGGACTGTTCTTCTGCCCCCCTGGGAAAGCCTGTTGTCAACTCTCCAGATGCTGACATTTGCAGGCTGGTGTCTATGGAGCTGCTTGTTTGTTCTGCCTCGCCAGCTCTTATTTTTGGGAGAGAAAAACCTAAATCCATCACTTATTCTTGCTATGTAGAGTTCCAGGGAAGGACTTGAGCTTGGCAGGGCCAGCCAAGCTCCAGGAACTGTTTCTTCACTTCTTGTTGAAAGATACGGGAACTGGTGGCTGTCGTTTTCTATCAAGAATGTGGGGCATGCCTGGTATTCAGAGTGGAAAAAAGAAATAGTGTTTCTGACGGGGGCACACTATTGGTATTAACAATTCCTCATTGTATAGGACTGTCCTGTGCCCAGAGAACGTTGAACATCTCTGACAGTAGAATGTGCTTGTGGTTCGTGGAGCCGTTGTAATAACTAACCAACACACACACACACAAACGCACACACACACACACACACACGCTACCAAAAGACTGGGTAGACATCAGCTGGGGTCTAGGCTAGGGTCTGAACAAGTCACCTAAGAAGATTAAGACGAAGGCAAAAGGAGTTCCCCACTGAGATGTCCTGGTGGGTTTGAGTGTCTCACCTGGCAGGAGGCTGGAGGGAAGGTGAACAGCCTTCCGGATTCCTAGGACTGCAGGAGCTCTCTCTTAAGAAGGGGAAATGTCCTTGGGCCCTGCTCCCCAGTGGCCCCCAGCCCACTGCCCTGGGCCTCTTGTTTCTCAGCATTTAAAAAGTCCCTAGGACTGGAACTTTCCACTTACAGGTCTTTGCAGAGAAGATCATGGTTTGTTTCCCCTCCTGTGCAACTGAGTCTAAAATTTGCATCTGGTTATTAAGTGGGGGGGAGTGAGGGTAGATTTCTGGTGATCTTGCCACCCCCTCCCCTTTCCCCAAGCCTAGGTTTTCTTCCTTAAACTCTTCTGTCCTCCTGACCACTAACTACGCCCATCTCCTTACCCACCCCCCTCTCCCCAGATTAAGCAATTTATGCGGTTCCCCAGAGACTGGAGATACCAAGGATTTACGTGTGATGCTGGGAAGAGGCTGTTCAGTGTTAAGCCTGCTTTGTAAATGAGGAAATTCACGCTCAGACAGTTACTCTGTCGAAGGTCATATATTGAGGAATACGGAGAGGTGGGCTAGTCTGGGGACCCGTTAGCTAGAGTTTTTCAGATTCCACACTTTGGCCTTCTCTGATTCTTATTCCTTGAGTGGGAAGTGGAGGAACAGCAGTGGTCACCCCCTTACCGCTGGAGATCGGGGCCCTGCAGGACAGGCTGCGAGCTGGGCATAGCTGATTTGTTTTGTGTTTGGCTGGGGGGAAAGAACAGAGCTGCAACCACACGATACCAAAAGCTTCCCCCCTGCAGGGCGGCAGCACCACCTGTCCCTCTGGCAGTGATCTGCCCCCTGGTCCTGCAGCCCTTTGTTCTGCAGCATCCCACCCCCGCCCCTGGCCTGTTTGACCCTGGAGTTTCATGGTGCCCCGGGCCTGCTGTTCTGTGGCAGCCTGTGAGTGTCTAAATATAGAAAGACACACAAGCACAGAAGCCACTTCCTCTCCCAGCTTCTCGGTTTCCTCCTCAGCCAAAATAGGCCCATGACACCCCACCCCACCCCCACCCCGACCTGATGAGCTCATCGGCCAAGGCCAGCCCCCTCTCCCCAGCACCCCCTTGCTCAGTCTCCCTGCCGCTCCCATCCAGAGCCGACCTCTGCCCCGCACAGGATGGAGGGGCCCGTGAAGTCCAAACAGGCAGGAAAGGGACAATTCTTCTCAGGACCTGGCTGCATTGTTTGTTGCAAAAGGGAGAAGCACTGGGGAGCCCACTGGCAGCAGCTAGAAATGGTCTCATTGAAATCAGGGTATTTTTAGTTGCTTTGCTTACCCGGCAGCTGAGAAGGCCACCTGTCCCAAGTTGCTGGCGCTCCACCCCCGCTGGGATGGCCCAGAGCTCTGCTTTTTGCTTTTGTTTCCCTTGCAACCCTTTGGCCCCATTTCCTTGCCATCAGTACCTTCCTGATATGGAAGTCTGTGCAGAGGGAACCCAGAGTGTGGCTCTGAAGCCCTTTGCTGTGCAGATAGATAGTCCTGGCTGCTAAGAGTCTGGCTTCTGGAGGATCCTTGGGTGAGAGCCTTAAAGGGAACCAGGCAGACAGAAGGGACGAGGGTGGGGAAGGAGGGCACCCCGGGCATCCCATGGTACAGCAAGCAGAGGGGCACTGAACGTGCAATAGAAGTGTAGCCACGTTGCAGGCAAGGCGGGCAAGACTCAAAAGACGTGTGACGTCCCCTCACTCTGAGTCAAGAAGCATGCTCCTCACCACTTCCTTACTTACCCCGTACACACCTGGCGACAGTGGCAGTGTCCCCCTCCGAAGGCGGCTGTGATCCCCTGACAGTGAGATCGCTTTCTTCCTTCCCCAGGTGAACTCAGCATCAGGCAGGTAGCACTTGATCATTTAAGCTTTGGGTGAGCCCTTCCCTGCCCGTGTCATTTGGAAGTGGGGGCGCAGATGCATCTGTATTTATGAAGGGGCCACGTAAAGGGTGGAACTGCAGGAGCCCTGCTTAGGCTCTTAGTCCAACTCGTCAATGACCCAAAACCCTCCACCGAGCGAGAGGGCAGGGGTTGGGCTGCCCCGCCTCAGCCCCATGGCAGGAGGACACCTGGGCTGCAGCTCCTAAGAGGCTCCAGGCACAAGGGGCCCCACCAGGTCCCCTGACCTCCTGTTAGGAGCCATGGAGGTGGCTGCAACAGATCTCATCTGTTCCCTGACTGCTTTGGGCTTCCCTCTTCCCTGCCTTGTACCTTCCCCCATTCTGGAGGCTGTTTCAGCATCGCTGCATTGCCCACGGAGCGTCTGCCCTCACCGCCTCTGACTGAGGCTTGTGATGGGAGGTTCTTTTCCTCTAACTCAGGCCAGCCATCTTTTTCTGCAAAAGGTCGGATAGGTTAGGCTTGCAGGTCATGTGACCCCTGTCTGCTCTACCCAGCTCTGCTGTGCAGAAGCAGCAGCCAGAGACAACACACCGACTACAAGTGTGGCTGTGCTCCAGTAAAATTTTATGGGCTTTGAAAGTTGAGTTTCATATCATGTTCACATGATATGAAATAGCCTGTCAATGTCTGCTTTCAGCCACTTAAGAACACATACCATTCTTAGCTGGTAGGTTCTAGAAAACAAATGATCAACTGGACTTGGCTCTCGGGAGGCTGCAGTTTACTGCACCTGATCTAACCTGGTGGTTTTCTGATGTTTCCTTCCAATAACCCAGATCTTTGGTTGAAATGACCTGTGGGAGAGAAGCCCCCTCCATCTCCCACGTACAGGAGGTGGTCAAGCTCCCTGCACGATTTGGAAGGTTTCTCTTACTGAGAATAAAAGACAAAAACAAAAACAAAAACAAAAAACAGTACGCCCAGTGCGTGATCACGGTCCCAGCCATTTGCGTAGTAAGCCATTCAGAGACCTGGAGGCTTGTTGGGGAAAGGCGGTTTCCTCAAACCAGATCACATTCTCAGGACTGTGATGTGTTCCTGCTGATGGTGAAGCAGGCCACAGTGTGTGCGGCAGAGCTCGGCCTCCGTCATCAGGTTGTCTTTTTGGTTAGAATCCAGGCTCTGCTGCCAGCGAGCGCTGAAGCTCTGGCCAGTCACTTGACTTCTTTGGACTTCATGTTCCTCATCGGGAAAAAGGAGTCTCTCCCTCTTGAGGTGGTTTGGAATCCACAGGACCGTGTATGAATCTGTTAGCCCTGGGATCATCGCAGACCACATCCTTGGTACCTACTGTGCTACGGCCGCTGGTAACAGCACGCTCTGGCCATTGTGTCTGGCTATTGAGAGTTCGGCTGTGTGCAGGCCACCAGCTTGAAACAAAAAGAGGAAAACAAAGAAGGAACTGCCCGTGTTGGCCTGGCACCAGGGCGGGGGGAAGTGTGTGCTTTGCTTCCAGAATACTTGTGTTCTCTGGGTAGAAAATTCCCCAGGATCTGGAGGCTTTCTCCTGCTACCCTGGCTTGATGGAAATAGCCCTTTTAAGACTAGCTCGCTTCTGGACACTCAGGAAGCTGACTTGTTGATCTGTGCATCTGGGGAGCAGGAAGTGCCCCACTGAGAAACAGTGGAGAGAGTAAGTGAGCTATTGCGGGGGTGCTCTGCCAGACAGCTCCCAAGTCTGGCTGCTGGCAGTGAATTTTGAGGAAGTTGAAGTTGAGTTAAGAGTCTGGGACCTTAATCCACTCTGGTGACCTGCACCATGTCCATAATCATAATCCATGTGTCTACGGGACAAGACATAGTTCCTCCTCACAGCGGGGAACATGCCTCCCCGTCCCCAGAAGGATGCCCCAGGCAGCCAGGCCTCCTCTCCTGCTTTGAATGGCTGTTTGTGCAGACACTGTAACCCCTTTCTTTCTCGCTCCCGCAGCAAACTCCGGAACCAGGCGCAGAGTGAACGATATGGATATAAAGAGGTAAAGTCCACATCTTGCCCTGAACTTCCTCCCCTCCTAATTGCCCTGCTAGAGGTGGACTTGGGGGGAGCAGGTTAAGCTGGCCGGGCCTCCTCTGAGGCTAACTCCTATCATGTCTGCAAGTCTGGCTTGGCCCAAAGCCCCCCTCCTTCATGGGAGGGTGAGGGGGGCACTCCAGTCAGGGCTGGGGGCTCCCTTCCTCGGCTGATACCACCTGGCCCCTGTGGTTGGTTTCTTTTGACACCGTACCCCCTCTTTCTTCCCAGGTGGTGCTTAAAGGTGATGCCAAGAAGTTACAGTTATACGGGGTGAGTGCTCAGGGACAGCACGCAGGGGGCCCAGTGTGTAAGGCACACAACACCGTCTCCCGCTCTCAGCCCAGACCTTTGCAGGAATCTTTTTAGGCCCTGCCTTAGTTATCTCCTTGGACCAAGTAAAGGAAACTCACCCAGGAGGTGATCAGTATGCAGAATCCATCATGTCTGGAACTGGTGCAGACAGAGAACAAAAGGCTCACAGAAGGGCTTGGATAGGTGGTGACCTGTGGCCCCAGGAAGCCCGCTAGGCATGATGTTATGGGAGAGGATGGTCACACCACTCGATGCTGTTTCAGGAACTTCTCCCCCTGTTCAGACCCCATGTCTCGGTCTGAAAGGAGCTCCTTTGTATATGCTCCGCCCTAGGGACTGTGGGTCTGACTCATGTCCAGCCCTGCAGTTCCTCCCTATTTCCCTCCATTCCCCATCACACCAACTCCTTGGGCCCCCTCAGCTCTGACTCTTTTAGGAATAGACCATTTCTTGTCCTTTCTTACCTATGCCTTGAGGTCCCCTGAGTCATTTCCCAAGGCGTCCTTCCATCACCATGGAGACTCCTGCAGGGAGCAAGTGTGTGGTCGTCTGGGCATGGGGCAAGTCACAGGTCTCACTAGACATGAGACTGCCTGGACACAGCCTTATTTCACCCCTCTTTTTGGTGTCCACTCTTACGGTGTTTGCTATCATGATGTCCGTGGGTTCCGACATTTGCTAAGCTCTCCTCCAGAATAATAATTCAGCTGAGCTTGAAGGGGCTGCTACACTGGGATGCGAGGCTGGATTTAAAGAATGTAAAACCATGTGCCAGACCCCCATCCTGATCTCCAGTTATTGATAAGTGCCCCCTCTCCAAAGGTACTATGCTAGAAAGGATTAAAACCCATCCTTGCCCAGTGGAAGTGTCTGAGGACAGAAATGCTGTCTGCCCCACCCAGGGTGGGGGCCCTTAACCACTTTATGGCTGTCTGAGCACTTGAAATGTGCCCAGTGTGACTGAGGAACTAAATGTTTAATTTCACCTTACCTTGATCAATTTAAATCTAAAAACAGGGGGCGGGGGG